CATATATTGCTACCATGACCCCCATCATCAGTTGCTTAGTTCCATCTTCTGGCTAATGTGTTGCAGCTTCTCCATCAGCAGGTGATGCTTCAGCACACACTTGGAGGATGTGGCGAGGGAACCTTCCCTTCAATCTCAGGAACGAACCCCTACCAGCGTCCAACTTCTGAGGTTTCCTCACCTCCGCCTTCAAAACACTGAAGAGAGTTGTGGGAACCCTTGTTTAGATTAAACGGTTCTACAGGATGTTGTATCTGACCAGATTCTCTATCCAGACCACTGCAGCTGTCTCCCTAACTCTGAGAAGACACTTTCACTTTCTTACCATTGGTGGGTTCACTCAAATACCACTTTTATTTTTAAAAAATTTTAAAAAATTTTTTGCTTTTTGGGTCACACACGGCGATGCACAGGGGTTATTGCTGGCTCATGCACTCAGGAATTACTCCTGGCGGTGCTCAGGGGACCATATGGGATGCTGGGAATCGAACCCGGGTCGGCTGCGTGCAAGGCAAATGCCCTACCCACTGTGCTATCACTCCAGCTCCCACAAATACCACTTTTATTTTTAAATTTTGTATGGAATATCCGTGAGACAGACCACTACAAAGCTGTTCACGATTGGGTTTCAGTCACACAATGATCCAACACCCTCCCTCCACCAGTGTACATTTCCACCACCAATGTTCCCCATTTCCCTCCCTGCCCACCATCCCCCAACACCGCCCTCCACCCCTCTCCAGGCTGCCTCTAGGGGAAGCACTTTATTTTCTTTCAGTTTTTAAGTCACAGCCAGCAAAACTCAGGGCTTCCTCCTGACCCTACTCAGGGACACTCCCAGTGGGTTCAGGGCACCATATGGCAGCTGGAGATTGAACCCGGTTCAAGCTGTGCAAAGTAAGTGCCCTCCCTAACTGTACTCTTTCTCTAGCCTCGAATATCATTTTTTATTCCCTGCAAGGACCTGTGCATCACATCCTGGCTTATGGTTTGGCCATGAAGGCCTGCTTTTAGCCTGTGTTGGCTTTTGGCATGACTTCCTCACCAAGTTCAATCATTTCCAGCTTTTAATTTAAAGTGATGAAGAAAAAAAAAGTTCAAGACATGTGACTCTTCCTGACACTTGAACTCTGAAAGGCCGAGGTGGGGTTATTAATGGGCCTAATTTTAAATATTATCAATTCAGAGAACACAGAGGCTTGAGGAGAGAGAGAGAGAGAGAGAGAGAGAGAGAGAGAGAGAGAGAGAGAGAGAGAGAGAGAGAGAGAAAGAGATGGGAAAGTGCGTTTTGATTTTTGGGCTCTCCTAAGCATCCCTTTCCCACAAGTAGAATAACCCTAAAGGCAAATTCTAGTTATGCCAGGCTTGTCACCTGTCACCTCAATCCTTTTTGGTTTTTTTTTGGCTTTTTGGGTCATAGCTGGCAATGCACAGGGACTACTCCTGGCTTTGCACTCAGAAATCACTCCTAGAAGTGCTCGGGAGGCCATATGGGATGCTGGGAATCGAACCCAGGTCGGCCACGTGCAAGGCAAACGCCCTCCCTGCTGTACTATCGCTTCAGCCCCACTGCAATCCTTTTTCAACTTGCTCTACAAATCTAAAATCTTAAATCAGTATTTTCCTTCTGGGTTTTGGGCCACACCCAACAGTGCTCAGGGGCTACTCCTGGCTCTGTGCTCAGGAATTACTTCCAGTGGTTTTTGGGGAATCAGGCAGAGCTGGGGGTGGAACCTAGAATTTCAATATGCAAATCATAGCACTCAGTCCATGGAGATATCGCACTGGCCCTGAAACCTTCAAAGACTTTTAGGGCAAGAAATCTAAGTCAGGATATTCTGTGCTAATTTTTTTTTTCTTTTTGGGTCACACCCAGCGATGCTCAGGGTTTACTCCTGGCTCTGCACTCAGGAATTACTCCTGACGGTGCTCAGGGGACCATATGGGATTCCGGGAATTGAACCTGGGTCAGCTGCGTGCAAGGCAAATGCCCTTCCCGCTGTACTATCGCTCCGGCCCTGTGCTAACTAGTTTTAAAAATATTTATTTATTATTTTTGCTTTTGGGGTCACACCCCGCAGTGCACAGGGGTTACTTCTGCCTCATGCATTCAAGAATTACTACTGGCGGTACTCAGGGGACCATATGGGATGCTGGGAATTGAACCCGGGTCCGGCGCATGCCAGGCAAACGCCCTACCCGCTGTGCTATTGCTCCAACCCCCTAATTTTAAAAATATTTAAAAGCAACAATAACAAGAGAAGTTAAGCCCAGAGTCACCAACTTGGGAAAATAAGGAATCCAAACTTCAACAGCCAAAATTTAAAATGTGACTGGGCACCCTGGTGGAGGGAAGGAGACACCGGTGGAGGGGTTGTGCTGGAATATAGAATGTCTAAAGCCCAAATATGAATCACGATCACGATCACGACCATCCTGTTATTCGTCGATTGCCTCAAGCAGGCCCCAGTAACATCTCCTTCGTCCTAGCCCTGAGATTTTTAAAAAAAGTGCCACATTAAAGACTCTTTCAGGGTTAGGAGAATGAGACCCATCATTGTTACTGGTATTTGGCATATTGGGCACGCCATGGGGAGTTTGCCAGACTCTGCCATGTGGGCAGGTTACACTCGGTAACCTGCCGGTTTGTCCAAAGTAGGAATGAGATAATAAGATGAATATGAATGAATATGAATAATATGAATAACCTTGTAAATCACAGTGCTTTGTTTAAAATTTTTTAATTTAATTTATTTCTTTAGTTCGGTCTTTTCCTTTAAAAAAATCTTTAATAGAAAAATTTAAAAAAAAACAGGCATTACTTTGGCTTTCTGTCATTTCCTCTTTCTTTTTATGTTGGTGTGTTATAGTTTTTCACTGTAACCAAGAATGCCACTTGAGAATCTAGTATTGACGTACTAATGCCTTGTCTAAAACAGTCTTTGCTATTACTCTATGCAGCATCAACAGCTAGTACTTAAAGACGCTTTTAGGGACTCTACTTGTGTTTACCTGGAAACAATTGATTCCCTTTAGAATTCTGGTATTTCAGACCGCTTTAATCACAGCAGTTTGCAGTTCTCCGTGTACCTGTTGTCCATTTGTATACTTATTGTCATTGATGAAGTGTCTCTGTCTCTTTCCCCTGGGAAAGTAAATTTTTAAAGTTCTCATTACAAGGGGGAAAAACATGTAACTATGGTGATGGATATTTTGGTGACTGTTTTACAACTCACACAAAATATTCTGTAGACAGAAATGCGTAAGCCAGTACTGAGAGATAGTCAAGTTAAAAATTGGTGAGATACCGTCTTCTTGGATTGGAAATCTATTGTTACAATGTAAATTCCTCCCAAACTGATTAATTAACTCAAAAGCCAAGCAAGGGGGCTGGAGCGCTAACACAGAGGGTAGGGCGTTTGCCTTGCATGCAGCTGACCCGGGTTTGATTCCCGGCATCCTATATGGTCCCCCGAGCACCGCCAGGAGTAATTCTTGAGTGCAGAGCCAAGAATTAACCCTGAGCATTGCTGGGTGTGACCTAAAAAGAAAAAAAAAAAGCCAAGCAGGTCTGTTTCTGTATAAATAAGCTTGGATCAGAACGATTGTCCAGGGGTTAAGGCACTCGCCTTGCATGTGACAGACTCTGGTCACAGGAATCCCATATGGTCACAGCATCTGAGTATGGTCAGGAACGACCCTTGAACACAGACAAGGAGCAGCCCCTGAGCAAACACTCACTGTGGCCCCAAATCTCCCTAAATCAGTGAGTTCTTTCTAAAATGTGTCTAAAATAGCGGGGAGGGGGGGAGTGTTTAGGGGACCGCAGCTGACTGTGTTCAAGGCTTACTCCTGGCTCTGCACTTTGGGATTACTCCTGGTGGACTTTGGGGACCATATGGGATGCTGGGGAGCAAACTCGGGTCTGCCATGTGGGAGGGAAGCGCCCTACCTGCCGTGCTATCTCTCTGGCCGCTAAAAATGTTTTGATAAAGAACAAATATGAAAGATTGATTCAAGATTTGCTAGAAGACCAAAAGTAAGTACAGAGAGAGAGAGAGAGAGAGAGAGTAAGAAGGGAATTGTCTGTGATAGAGGCAGGAGGTGGGGTGGAGTGTGGGTGGCGGGAGGGATACTGGAGACATTGGTGGTGGAAAATGTGCACTGATGGAGGGATGGGTGTATGAACTGAAACTCAATTATGAAAGCTTTGTAACTGTAGCTTATGGTGGTAAGGTAAAGGCCCTCCCGTTGATCGTCGATTTGCTCGAGCGGGCCCAGTAACGTCTCCATTGGAGACTTTGTTGTTACTGTGTCTGGCATATCGAATACTCTCGGTAGCTGTAGCTTATGGTGATTCATTAAAAAAATTTTTTTTTTAAAAAGACTTGCTAGAAGGGCTAGTACACAGGAGGTCAACTGGGGACATTGGTGGTGGAAAATGTATCCTGGGGGAGGTAGTATGTGTGTAATATTGTATGACTGAAATCCAAACATGAACAACTTTGTAGCTGTGTATCTCACTGTGACTCAATAAAAAACATTTTTGATTAAAAAAAAAGGGGCTAGTGTGAAGGTTAAGTTGCCGGCCTTGCATGAGGCTGATGTGGCTTTGTTTCCAGCATCACGGATGGTACCATAAGAACTGCCAGGAGTGACCCTGGGCCGAGTCAGGAGTGAGCTCTGCACACCACTGGGTGTGGCTCAACCTCCGTCCTTCAGTTAAAAAAAAAAAAAAAAAATATATATATATATACATATAGGTGCCAGAAAGACATTGTAGTCGTTAAGACACACACACACTGCACATGACCATCCGTTTCCAAGGTTAAAGTGTCCAGTGGAAGGACTAAGAAGCAAAAAGGAAGAATAAGCGAAGACACTTGGAAAGGTGAGTGGGTGAATTTAAGTAAGAATTCACTGGTTTGGCACTCGGTGACCTTTCGGGCCGTGGGCGGGGCGCGGTCCTGCGAGAGCTGCGGGAGCTGCAGGGCCCAGGGTCCAGCCGCCGCGATGCTTCAGAGCCTAATGAGGACCGTGTGGACGCCCATGAGGCCCCACTACACGCAGGTCTACCGGGAGATCTGGGTGGGCATGGGGCTCAGGCGCTTCATCATCCACAAGATCAGGAGTGCAGATGAAAGAAGTAAAGCTTTGAAAGGTTCGAGTCCGGCGCCCGCCCATGGCCACCACTGACCAGCCGCTCCCGGAGTGCTGGGCACTGACCAGCGGCAGCCCTGCTGTGAATGTCAGCATGCTGTTCGGAGGGGCCGTGGACGGCCAGTGGACTGTAGGGAAGCCTGTCCTCGTGGCACAAATAAATGTCCTGTAAGATGCGCCCACAAAAAAAAAAAAAAAGAATTTACTGGTTTATCAAGCAAGCAAAAATGTTTTAAGGCTGTAGCACTGTAGCACTTTCCTCTGTCGTTCATCGATTTGGTCGAGTGGGCACCAGTAATGTCTTCATTGTGAGACTTGTTACTGTTTTTGGCATATCGAATCCGCCACGGGGAGCTTGCCAGGCTCTGCCGTGTGGGTGGGATATTCTCGGTAGCTTGCTGGGTTCTCCAAGAGGGATGGAGGAATCGAACCCGGGTCGGCCGCGTGCAAGGCAAACGCCCTACCCGCTGTGCTATCACTCCAGCCCTGTTTTAATACTAAGAAAAAAAAATAATGGGTCCAATATATACTTCCTTCTGCAATGAAAAGCTCCCCTCTGAAGGATGAGCCTTATCTAAGGTCTCCAGAATGGAATTTATAGGGGTCATAAAGAGAGTATATGGGTAAGGCATGTACTATCATATATACTTGGCGTGCACATGGCCAACTCTGGTTTGACTCCCTGCACCTCATTTGATCCCCCCAATACTGCCAGGAATGATCCCTAAGCAAAAACAGGGATAAGCCCTGTGCACACTTGGGTGCGGTCATATAGCCCAAAATAAATAAATATTTTAAAATAATCCAGACAGGGTTGGGGCTGGAGAGATAGTATCTTACATGCAGCTGACCCGGGTTTGATCCCTGGCACCCCATATGATCCTCCAAAACCCTATCAGGTGTAACACCTGAGCACAGAGCCAGGAGTAAGCCCTGATGTGCACAGCTGGGTGTGGCCCCCAAATTAAATTTTTTTAAATTAAAAAATAATCAAAACAGGAGGGTCTTAAAGAGATACTTGGATGCCCATATTGATAACAGCATTATTCACAAGTTGAAAAGTGTCAGCAACCCAAATGTCCATCAGTGAAGAAGTAAACAGAATATGGTATACAGCTATGGTGGAATATTATTAATTCCCTTAAAAAGGAAATTCTGATGCATGCTATGATATGAATCCTGAAAATATTACGCTAACAAGCTGATCACAAAAAGAAAGTGTTGCACGATTCCACTTATTTAATATTCACTTTAGTCAAAATCATAGAAGGTAGGATGGCGGTTGCCAGGAGCCAGGGGAAAGGTAAATGGGGTTAGTTTAATGGATGGAAATAGTTTCAGTCACACAAGATGAAAAGAGCCACAGTGCTGCATGCACAACTCTGGAAATGGAGGGGCTGGAGGGACAGGCGCAAAACAAGCATGACCAGAGGGAAGGGCACTTGGCAGACCAGGGTTCGAGCACCTGGCATCCCATGTGGTCCCCTGAACACCACCAGGAGAAATTCTAAGTGCAGAACTAGGAATAGCCTCGAGTATTACTGAGTGTGGGCCTCCAAACAAACAAAGAAAGATGAATGTATTAAATAGTAAAGTATACTTTAAGATGACTGGCATCATAAATTTATTTATTTTTTTGAGGGGTGTGACACCCAGTAGTGCTCAGGGACTGTTCCTGAATTAAAGTCCAATGCCATAGGACAATGGCTAAAATGTGTTAACGGTAATCGGGCATAATGACTCTGGTGGTGTGAGAACATGGCACAACCACTTGGCAAATCTATTTGGCAGTCTGTCCTAGAATTAGATGTGTATTTGTCTTATAATTTGAAAGACGATTTCCTGAGAAACAAAAACATTGCGTCAGAAACGTTTCAGCACCATTAAACGTTCCTTTATCTCTAGTGGGAACAGTGAGAAGAACTAAAAACAAGAAAACCCAAAATACTCTAAAATAAGTGCATTTTTAAACATCAAATACAGCCCACCGAAGGAGTATCACTCAGCAATGAAAATAACTGAAGGGTCTGCGACACTAAGGAATCTCAGGACCCTTAACGTAGTGAAAGAAGCCAGACGCAAAAAAGCACAGATCCTATGCTTCAGTAATATGAAACTCCAGAGCAGGCTAGTCTAATTTACAGTCTGAGAGAACAGTTCAAAGCGTTCCTGGGGTAGACGGCGGCCGCCTGTCAGGTGAGAAACACAAGGAAACTTTTCAGAGTCGTGGCTGGTTTTCCACCACTGGTCCTTGGACCATGGCCCATTCACTGGTGCAAAAGGTTGAAAACTACCGTGGGATAGCAACGCAAGTGTGTCTTGCTTCTGGGAAGGATGGCAAGAGAGTGCACTTAACAAAACTCTTCCAACTGCGCGCTTAAAAGGGGTGCATTTTACTCTATGTAAATCATAGCTCAGTGCAGTTACCACCTTTTTGCACATTAAAGCAGAACACAGTTTATCCCTTATAAAATAGGGGTAATCATACTTTACGTGAGCCGAGTAGATGGGTCAGGATTAGGTTTATGTGAAACACTTTGGATCTGGCACACAATAAAATGTCAAAAACTCTTAAAGGATAAGCTCTTCTTAAATTCAAATAACGGTGTAACAGAGCCACTGTAATCCAGTGACTCTCAACCACGGGCAATTTTGCTCTCCAGAGGACACTGGGAAATGTCTGGAGAGGTTTTTGACAGGGAGCTAAGGGGGTGGGGACAGAAGTATGACTGGTATCTAGTGAATACAGATCGCAAACACTGTTAAACATTCTATAATGCATGAACAGTCGTTACAACCAAAAATGATCTGCAGCTAGTACTGCGGACTTGAGAATCCCAGCACAATGCACAGAAAGAAAACGCATGAAGTGTGCATAATCCACATGGAATTCAAACCCAAATGGAAATATAAATATCATCTACAAAGAGAAAAGCAGGTAAGGAACAAAGAATAAAAACATGGCTAGGAAACAGAGAAAGTTCTGCACGTACTCCATGGGGAAATGTAAGATGAATACATGAAATGGCGTTCTAAAACCAATTATGTAGCATGGGACAAACATTCATATTGTCATGAGAACTAAAGTCTGTAGCATGTGCCAAAGATGAGCAGGCAAATTTCTAAAGGAAGAGCTGGAGCAATAGCACAGTGGGTAGGGCATTTGCCTTGTACGTGGCCAACCCGGGTTCGGTTCCCAGCATCCCATATGGTGCCCTGAGCACCGCCAGGGGTAATTCCTGAGTGCAGCGCCAGGAGTAACCCCTGTGCATTGCCAGGTGTGACCCAAAAAAGCAAAAAAAAAAAAAAACAAACTTCTAAAGGAATACTAGGATATATACATATACATGAATAATTATAAATGCATTTAAATCATCATTATAATATCTATCTTTAGTGATAGAGAAAAATGGCCAAAACTGAGTTATATGCTACTTTAAATTCTGTTCTGCTTTCCAAAATGCTGTAAGCTTTTAAACGATCTTGAACTGTCACTAAATACCTATTTCATACCAGGTAGTATGCAAAGTGCTTTATAAACTTTTTCTTTCATTCCTCACAATAAATCTACATTGTCCATATCAGTGATTCCTTTGCACAGACGGAATAAGCTATGTCTCCCAGAGACAACTGAATCAATGCACAAGGTCAGCAAGTGGCAGGACCTGGACTCAGGTCCTTTTTTTTTTTTTTTTGGCTTTTTGGGTCACACCCAGTGATGCTCAGGGGTTACTCCTGGCTCTGCACTCAGGAATTACTCCTGGCGGTGCTCAGGGGACCATATGGGATGCTGGGGATCGAACCCAGGTCAGCCCGCGTACAAGGCAAACGCCATAACCGCTGTGCTATTGCTCCAGGCCTGGACTCAGGTTCTCTACTGAGAAGTCCAGTCCAGTCTCCCTGACAGTGAAGAGGTAACACAAGCCATTTTCTAATGCCTGAGCAAATATCAAGAATATTTCTAATTCTCACAAACCTCATCTCAAAATAATTCTGGGCAGATGTGGAAAATGAAATGACAAAATAAAGTTATGTACACAGAAGAACATGCATAGATATGAAATCACGTATGTAATTTCCATGGCTCACAAAGTCAGAATTAGAGTTCTGATTACATTTGAAAGATGATGGTAATTTTTCTTCTTGGGTTTTGGGCTACTCTCTGTGGTGCTCAGGACTGACTCCTGGCAGTGCTCAGGGAACCATATGGGGTGCCAGTGATGGAACTGGGGTAGGCTGTGTGAAAGGCAACAGCCTTAGTCTCTAGACCGTCTCTCCAGTCCCATTCAGACTTCTTTACATAGTAATGACTTTATTAACTGATGCATAAAATTAGCATTTCAAACACCCACATGATATTGTTGGAAATCTTTTGGTTTGCCTAAGCGAAAGCCATATTACTCTCACTAGGATGAGCTCTTTGCTTCGGAGCGATGTTAAAGAGAGTAATCCTGGTGATTGGGGGAGGCATCATTTGCTCAATCCTTTCAGGCCTCTTGTCTGTAAACCTTCTCTTTTTTTGAGGACTGAAGATTAGATAAGAGGGATAAATAAAGACTTTAGAATAAGGTCTGAGCTACAGGTGGTGGGGCGGGGTGGATAGTTAGAGAAGTCCACTATGACAGTGATAACCGGAAATGATCATTCTGGACCAGATCTGAGTGCTAGAAGTAGGTAAAGAGATAAGCATAACCTTTTTTTTTTTTTTTTTTTTTTTTGCTTTTTGGGTCATACCCAGCGATGCTCAGGGGTTACTCCTGGCTCATGTACTCAGGAATTGCTCCTGGCGGTGCAAGGGACCATATGGGGTGCTGGGAACCGAACCTGTGTCAGCCATGTTGGCTGCATGCAAGGCAAACGCCCTACCTGCTGTGCTATCGCTCCAGCCCCAAGCATAACTTTTTGTTACCTGTATTGCAAGGCATAATTCTCCAAAAGACAGAAGAGAAAGAGAGTGAGAGAGAAAGAAGAAAAGTGCCTGCCACAGAGGTCTGCCGGGGGGGAGGAGGGTGTTGTTGATGGGAGGGAAACTGAGGACTTTGACAGGAAATGTGCAGTGATGAAGGGAGAGGTATTGGAACATTGCATGACTGAGACACTCATGTACAACTTTGTCACTGTGTATCTCACTGTTATTCAATTCAAAAAAGGAATAAATGGCTTAAGAGGTTCCTCTC